AAAAATTACAAAATAAAATTCCATTGTCAATGCGAAATTCACCAGGATTTTCTTTTACTCTAGTATTGATTGTAATCATTTTTCTTGTACCTCTCCTTCTATTATTCATCATAAAAATAATTTTTTGATTATCATGTTACACTTATTAAATTCCATTCTTATATTATCTGTGGTACAGTCTAACCTCGTCACAGCGGATTTATGGTACCAGCCAAAAAAATCCGCTGTGACGAGAAATCCGCTATGGCGAATTTGATGATCTGCAAAAAAATTTTTAAAAATGATAATATTTTTTATTAAAATCGCGTGCAGTAATGTATACACGTTTTTTAGAGGAGGATTGTTGGGACATTTTTTAACTGTATATTTATTTTTTATTTTTTAATTATAGTTTTGATAATACAATTAGGATTTAAAAATTTTGTTACTTGAACAAATAATCTATTTAATTGTTTTATTATTTTATTTTAAAATTTTTAGAAACAAAATTTTGTTACTTGATCTATTGTTATTAAAAATCCGTGAATAATTTTATTAATTTTATTAATTGTGGAAAAAAATTTTTTGTTTATCAATTTTAGTAATTTGGATAATTTTATAACTTGAATGTCACGTGAATCCGCTGTGGTGAGATTAGTAGACATATAGAGAGATCACCACCAAGTTTATTAATAAAATCCGTTGTGACAAATATTTTTTAATTAATATTAATAAAAAAAGGGGCCAATATTTAAATCCGTTGTGACAAGAAATCCGCTGTGACGAAATCCGCTGTGACGAGGTTAGACTGTACTTGAGTTCTGTAATTATTTTGGTGATTATAAATCATGTTTTGACAAATGAAAACTCTCCTCACCAGAGTTTTAATAAATGTCCTCAGGGTTTTGATGAACCATGTTTTGGTGAACGTAATTATCATTACCAATGTTTTGATAAATTTCTCCAGGGTTTTGATGAATGTGATAATTATAAATCATGTTTTGATGAACATAATTATTGTCATCGACATTTTGATAAATGTCTTCAGAGTTTTGATGAGTTGTATTGTGGACCATGTTTCGGTGAACGGAATTATTGTCAACGATATTTTGATAAATTTCTTCAGGTTTTGATAAATTGTATTATTAAACATGTTTTGGTAATCAAAATTCTCATTTACGCCTTGATAAATTTCTCCAGCGCTTTGATGAATGGGATTATTGTCTTTGACATTTTGATAAATGTCTTCAGGTTTTGATAAATTGTATTATGGATCATGTTTCGATGAATGGAATTATTATCACTGATGTTTTGATAAATTTCTCCAGAGATAGGATAATTATAAATCATGTTTTGATGAACGTGATTATTGTGACCGACGTCTTGATGAATGGGATAATTATAAATCATGTTTTGATGAACGGGATTATTGTCACTGACATCTTGATGAATGAAATAATTATAAATCATGTTTTGGTAAAATGGAATTATTGTTATTGACATTTTGATAAAGTCCTCAGGATTTTGATGAATTGTAATACGAAGCATGTTTTGGTGAATGTAATTATTTCCACCAACTTTTTGATAAATGTATCGATAAATTGTATTATTAGAAGTCGAGTATTGATTAGTAATATTCGTTTCCCCATTCGAATGAGAAATAACAGGATTGTGATTATTAAAACCGTTATTCTGGTCATCGGAATTATTATTATCATCCATATTTTAATTTTTTTAATTTTAATTATATATTTATTTATAATTTGTTTGTTTTTGTCTATAAAAAATAAAATTTTCTCCCGTTCGAAAAGAATAACACATGAATCCTTCCAAAATTAGTCAATTCCCACGACGACTTTGTTACAGGACTAGTGCAAAGTCGACAAAGTTCTTTATTAACAAGGGTAAGTGAAATAGGAGTTTAATATACTTGTATATCGTAACGAATAATATTGTTGTTACAATAACAGTCAGTAATATATATGTTAAAGTTATTATAAACAGGGAAATTTTAAAATAATTTAGCAGTAATACAAGAATAAGTTCTTGTTATCAGGTAGGTCCTATGTAATCGCTGGCAGAAAAAAATTTTTTTTTCTTTAATTCAAATATATTCTTATTATTAAACGATAAAATGTAGATCATGTGACATTTCTGCGTGTTTTTACACAAAAATACTCGGAAACCAATGAGAAACGTGGCTTTTTGTTCCAAGTAATCACACTTCAAATTAGGGTTTCTATTCGAATAAGGTTTATTCAAATTATTCACTTTATTCGTTATGACTTTGAGTATTCGAATTACATTGAAAGTTTATTCGAATAAATTTAATTCGAATAAAACGAATAATTCGAATAAGAAAATTGATTCGAATAAGGAAATTAATTCGAATAAAAAAATTAATTCGAATAAGAAAATTGATTCGAATAAGGAAATTGATTCGAATAAAAAATTAATTCGAATAAGGAAATTAATACTAATATTAATATTAATTTGAATAAAGCAAATACTTCGAAAAAACTAATTCGGATAAAACAAATAATTAAGGTTCAGTTTAAATTCAAGCTCACTGGAAAGATTGCTATTTATTAAAAGAAACATGAATCTTGTTCCAGACTTTCTTATTAGTTTCATTTTTAATTTCAAGTTTTATAATAATAAAATCAATATTAAGCCTTGTTGTATATATAGTTTGAATATTAAGCAATTAAACAACCCATGATTCCAAATAATCTAATAAAATGAATGAACAAACCCAAGATTCCGATAATGAATAAAATAAATAAAACAAATAATTTGAATAAAGTGAATTAAAATTTTAACCAATTGATCATTTGGACATAAAAGAATTGCAAATGATTATTTAATAGAATAGAATAACAGATTAAAAAATAAAGCCTTTTAAACAATTAACCATTTAGACATAAAAGAATTGTAAATGATCATTTAATAGAATAAAATAACAGATTAAAAAAATAAAGCCTTTTAATTAGGGTTCCTATTCAAATAAAAAAATAAAACGGATCAAAAATAAAGCCTTTTAACCAATTGATCATTTGGACATAAAAGAATTGTAAATGATTATTTAATAGAATAGAATAACAGATTAAAAA